CGCTTTCTAACTTTCAACACTCTGCTCTTTTCACTCGTCTTTCTCCACCCCAGAATGTTAATCTTCTTGAAGATCGCTTTGAGGAGCTCTTCAACATTCATCCTGTTTCTCCTCTTCTGTGTGTCACCGTCGGTGACTTTAGCAATTCTCCCACTCTTCTTTCTGTTGACACCGCTGCCATTCCCACCCCTCTGTCCTACTCCGAGGCTGTGTCGGGCTTTCATGCCACTGAATGGATGACTGCCATCATTGCTGAGTGCGAGGCATTTACCAGAACCAATTCCTACATTGACTCTGTCCCCCCCCCTGGCGCCACTATTGTTAAAGGCAAATGGGTCTTCCGTGTCAAGCAGCTGCCCGGCGAACTTCCTGTCTTCAAGGCCCGCTACTGTGCCAAGGGCTTCACTCAGCGTGAAGGCATTGACTACTTTGCCACTTACTCCCCCACAGCCCGTCTCCCCACTCTCCGCCTCCTTCTTGACTTAGGCGCTCGCTGGAATTGGGAGATCCACTCCATGGACGTTTCCAATGCTTTCCTCCAGGGCGAGCTGCATGAGCGCATATTCCTTGAGCGCCCCGCTGGTTTTCCTCGCCCTTTCCCTCCAGGCACTGTTTGGGAACTCAAGCGACCTGTGTATGGCCTTAAACAGGCCCCGCGCGAGTGGCACGCCAAGCTCGCCTCCACTCTTCACTCTCTTGGCTTCTCTACCTCCACTTCCGACCCCAGTCTTTTCATTCGCACATCCCCCCACAGGCTTTACATCCTTGCCTACGTGGATGATTTGGTGCTGCTTGCTGAGGACTCCGCCGATCTTGCAGCTGTCAAGAAAGCCCTGCAGGCGCGTCTCATGTGCAAGGATCTTGGCGAGCTTCGTCACTACCTCGGCATGGAGATCCGTCGTGATCGTGCTGCTCGTACCATCTCTCTCTCCCAGTCTTTCTACATTCAGTCCATCCTCCAGCGGTTTGAGATGTCGCAAGCCAAGCCGGTCTCCACCCCTCTTCCCGCTAACCATCAGCTTACTGCCCCTGCCGTCCCTGCTCCCTCCTCAGAGCTGCGGCCTTATCCTGAGCTCGTTGGATCTCTCATGTATGCTATGATGTGCACTCGCCCCGACCTTGCTTATCCCCTCAGTGTTCTCTCTCGCTTTGTTGGTCTGGGCCGCCACACTGACGTGCACTGGGCAGCTGCTAAGCGCGTCTTGCGCTATCTGCGTGCCACCTCTGACCTTGCTCTCACTCTTGGTGGCTCTATTCCTCCCGTTCTCTCCGGCTACAGTGACTCTTCCTACGCTGACTCTCGCCCTGATCGTCGCTCATCTCAGGGCTATGGTTTTACTCTTGGCAGTGGTCTCATCAGCTGGCGCTCCACTCGCTCATCCTCTGTCTGCCTTTCCACCTGCGAGGCTGAGTTGTACGCAGGCACATTGGCGGCTCAGGAAGCTCGTTGGCTCTCCTTTCTCCTTGCTGAGCTTGGTCACTCTCAGTCCTCTGTGACGCTCTCCTGTGACAGTGCGAGCATGATCCATCTCACTGAAAATCCTGTCTATCACGCCCGCAGCAAGCATATCGAGGTCCGCTATTTCTTTGTGCGTGAGCTGGTGCAGTCTGGCTTCTTACGCCTTCGCAAGGTGGACGCTACTGCCAACCTTGCAGACATTTTCACCAAGGCCCTCCTGCGTGCACCGCACCGTTTCTACGTGCGCGAGCTTGGGCTCACGCGTCTCTCCACTTCTGGGGGTGTGCCGGTTCGCTAGGTGTTTTGCTCCAGAGCTTCACCTAGCCTGGGGGTGTGTTGGAGTAGGCTAGAGCTCGCTCTGGCCTTTATTTTGGTGTTCTTATATTGTTATTTCTCTGGGCTTAGAGCGAGTTACGCACTCAGGTTCATTTTAGGTTCATTTCATAATTGTTAGAACAAACCGAACACACCCTAGGTTCAATTAGGGTTTCCAACCCTCTCTCTTTTGTATCTCGACATTCTCCTCCTAGTTCAACTTCTTCAACCTCACCAAAGCCTCTCGCCATCCATGGCTTTCCTTACTTTAACAGACAGGGGGTCCTGCTGAGCGTCGTGAGCCTGCGTCGTGTCCTGTCTCGCCTGTTCGTCCTGGTCGTACCGGTCGTCGTGTTCCTCGTCCGCGTGGGCCGGCTGTCCCCGGCACACGCCTTGTAGCCCTGCGTCGGTCCCCTACTCCGGAGCGTACTCCTCTTCCGTCTCCCCCTGCGTCCTCTTTGCCTAGCGTCGCGGACCCTGAGTCTGACCGGTTTCGTGCTGAGCACCCTACTGTCACGCGTCTGCTAGCCACTATTGTCACTGACCCGTCGTTTGAGTCTGCTGCTGCGTCTGCCCTGGTCGCTGAGCTTGTTGACTTTGCTGCTGCCTGTCGTCTAGACTACGCTGCTAGTCTTGTTGCTGAGTCTGAGTCTGTCTGTCCTCCGTCCGTCGGGGGTGAGTGTGCTCTTAGCACGGACGTCCTTGAGGACAGGCAGGAGGACCTTGAGTGTCTTGCAGCCGCTGCGCCTCATCTCGTGGCCATGCTGCTTGCCCCTGAGGGAGACCCGGATGCTATAGACATCCCCACACCGCGCTCTTACGCTGAGGCGATCACGGGTCCCTACTCCTCTCAGTGGCAGGCAGCCATGGACGCAGAGATGGCATCCTGGAAGTCCACAGGCACTTACGTCGATGAGGTTCCCCCTCCCGAGGCGAACATCGTCGATGGCATGTGGATTTTCAGGGTGAAGCGGCCGCCAGGTTCTCCGCCTGTCTTCAAGGCGCGTTACGTTGCTCGAGGCTTCAGTCAGCGAGAGGGAGTTGAATTCTTCCAGACCTTCTCCCCCACCCCGAAGATGACTACTCTTCAGGTGCTGCTGCACGTTGCCGCTCAGCGTGACTACGAGCTTCACTCCCTTGACTTCAGCACAGCTTTCCTACAGGGCAGCCTGCACGAGGAAATCTGGCTGCGCCGCCCACCTGGCTTCACTGGGTCGTTCCCTCCTGGTACCCAGTGGAGCCTCCGCCGGCTAGTCTACGGTCTCCGCCAGGCACCCCGTGAGTGGCACGACACACTGAGGACTACCCTTGCGGCTCTTGGGTTTGCGCCTTCGACTGCTGACCCTTCACTGTTTCTGCGCACCGACACTTCGCTGCCGCCGTTCTATATCCTCGTGTACGTCGACGACTTGGTCTTTGCTACTGCTGACACTGAGGCCCTCGCCCTGGTGAAGTCCGAGCTGCAGAAGAGACATACGTGCACAGACCTGGGTGAGCTGCGCAGCTACCTTGGCTTGCAGATCACCCGGGACCGAGCACGGCGCACCATCACCCTGACTCAGTCATACATGGTGCAGCAGGTCCTTCAGCGCTTCGGCTTCACCTGGTCCTCAGCACAGGCCACTCCTCTGGCTATAGGTCACTCGCTCTCAGCTCTGCCTTCGGATGAGTCCGTAGAGCCGAGTGGTCCTTACCCAGAGCTAGTGGGCTGCCTCATGTACCTGATGACTTGCACTTGTCCTGACCTTGCGTACCCTCTTAGCCTTCTGGCTCGCTACGTGGCTCCTGGTCGGCACCGAAAGGTGCACTGGGATGCTGCGAAGAGGGTACTGCGCTACTTGTGCAGTACATCGGGCATGGGGCTCGTGCTTGGAGGACGGCGAGAGGTGGTCCTCACTGGGCACTCAGACGCTTCTTGGGTTGACGACCAGGCTACACAGCGGTCGTCACAGGGTTACACTTTCAGCCTTGGCTCTGGTTCTGTTTCTTGGCGTTCTACTCGCTCGTCTTCTGTTCTCAGCTCCAGTTGTGAGGCTGAGATCTACGCCACAGCCTTGGCTGCACAGGAGTTACGCTGGCTCACCTACCTGCTGACCGACCTGGGAGAGCGGCCTCGTTCTCCTCCAGTTCTGTACGTCGACAACAAGGCTGCCATTGCCTTGTGTGAGGAGCACAGACTGGAGCACAGAACGAAGCACATCGCTCTGCGTTACTTCCTGGCTCGAGAGTTGCAGCAGCGTGGTCAGCTTCGTCTTGCACACGTGGCCACTCGGGCCAACACTGCTGATATATTCACCAAGGCACTTCCGTCTGGTGATCATCAGCGCTTTTGTACTTTGTTAGGCCTTGTGCCTACGTTTCCACACTTGCTGTAGCCTTTGTGTGTACTGTGCTCTATATTTATACCTGCATGCTTGCTCTTGCTAGGTATTGATCACTGTACTGCTCTTGTTGCTTATATATATCTCTGCATGTGGACTGGCCTTGTGGCCCTTTGCTTGTGCTCAGTTTGTGTGGTGACGTTGTGATCCACCCTGAGCTTGTTTTGTGTTTCTTGACTGGTCGTGTGACCCCTTGTTCTCCCCCACTTTGCCTATGGGGGTGTGTCAAACTGTATATGTTATATACTTGTGTAGGCTGTAGTGGGGTAGCCCATAAAGGGTACAACCCAATGTTAGGGTTAGGATATGTACCCAACTCTGTTTCAATCCAACTCATTCCTGTCTATACTTTCTAACACGCAACAGTACAAGAAACTATGCGTACACATCAGGGTTTAAGTTAAAACTACTCTGAGGTGCCAGGGTTTTTTAGCTGAAAGCTTGTGTTACACTGACACCTAAGAGAAAGGCTCGCCAAACACTCTGGATTTAAGTGTCAAACCAAAAACGCCTCTGGAAATCAGTGTAGTCCAAAACGAAAAAAAAAACCCTGGAGGATATCATCGCCAAAACATAATGCATCACACGTCACGTCAGTCATCGCATTAGGTGGTGGTTTGGAGAAACGCACTTGGTTGCATACATGCACGTTAATTGTTTATTAGAATGCTTGTACATATAGCGAAACACACCTTGCTCGAATTGTGAAATGTGGGGGCGGTCCAAAGAGTACGGCCAAATACGGTTAAATCTGGTTTTAATTAACTCCAGAGCGATCTAATCTAAGAACATGATGGTTGGGTAGGGTTTTCTGTGAAAATGTATATTGTTGGACCCGCCCTCACATGTGGGAGTCGAAGCCATTCTCGATCTACCCGAACACGAGATGGTTCTTCCCTCTCCATCTCGCCACCGCCACGCGTTCCATCACATCCACCCCCTCCATCCGCCATTCCGTCGTACCTCGCGACCAGGTTATTTACACCCCTAGCATCCATACGGTCGTGACTAGTCTAATCGAATTTCTCGCCGCACAGCAGCGGGCAGCATGGTGAAGGGCAAGAAGATTCTCTTCATCGTGGGCGACTACGTCGAGGATTACGAGGTACGCCGCCGCGCCTCCCCATCCCACCCGCTCTTTCCATCGTCAGAATTGCCTCGCGGCATCGTAATTTTGTGTTGGAGATAGGCTCGCACGCGCGCGTCGATTGCCCGCGATGATCGGCGCCGAGCTGACGCGCTGCGTGGTGGTGGGCGTGCGTGGCGCGCAGGTGATGGTGCCGTTCCAGGCGCTGATGGCGTTCGGCTGCAACGTGGACGCCGTGTGTCCCGGCAAGAAGGAGGGCGACGTCTGTCGCACCGCCGTGCACGACTTCGTCGGCGATCAGGTGAGCCTCTGTCGCTGGCTGGCTGGCAGCCGCCACTCGTGGCCGCGTGCTCCACAATACTACCTCCTCGCCGCGTGCGCCACAGTACTACCAGTGCTTGAATTGCACTCAGTCAACGCGCGTACTCGGGACCATACGCTGCTGTTAAATATCATGTAACGCCTGTGGGGTAGTGTTAAGGGCATCCGCTGCGCCTCAAATAACACCCTCCCCAACGTTATACTCATGTCTCACATACAGATTCATAGGGGATTTCCAGATTCTGATAGTTTGGCCATTTTAAAGCAATCGGTCAAAGACTCTCTCACTCACTGGTCCAGTAAAATCTGTGAATCCGCGTGGTCTAATCCTCTATCGACATATCTACCTCCCACCTCTCATTTCACACTCCCACCGCACACCGCGCACGGGCACGAGGAACAGACGTACGCGGAGTCGCAGGGGCACAACTTCGTGCTGAACGCCACGTTCGACGAGGCGCGCAGCGACGCGTACGACGCGCTGGTGGTGCCGGGTGGGCGCGCGCCCGAGTACCTGTCGACCGACGGCCGCGTGACGGCGCTGGTGCGCGAGTTCCACGCCGCCCGCAAGCCCATCGCCTCCATCTGCCACGGCCAGCTCGTGCTGGCCGCCGCTGACGTGCTCAAGGTGCGCACCACGAGGGGAGCGAGGCCATGAGGTGCAGAGGGAGGGGCTCGGGTGTACTTGAGCAGTCCCCCAGCGCTGCACATGCAAAGGGCATTGCTGTAGCACTTGCTGCCACGAGTGAAACAGCCCACCTCAGCATGTGAGCGGGGGAGCGTGTGCGAGCGTGATAGTGCGAGAGCGTGAGAGCGCGAGACGTGAGAGCGTGAGAGTGTGAGAGCGTGAGAGTGTGAAGGTGTGAGAGCGTGAGAGTGTGAAGGTGTGAGAGCGTGAGGGCGTGTAATGGTGCATGGCGCCCTCTCATAGCCATTCCTTCACGCCCACTCCCTCACCACGCCATCCCGTGTTGTGCCGCTCCCGTGTGCTGTGTGGTGCGTGGAGTGCGTGGGGGGTGCATGGAGGGGCATGGCAGGGCAGCAAGTGCACGGCGTACCCGGCGGTGAAGCCAGTGGTGGAGCTGGCGGGCGGGCAGTGGGTGGACGCCGACCCCATCTCCGCCTGCCTCTTCGACGACCAGTGCGCCCCGGGGGGCATGGCCATGGCCATGGGGGCGCGGGCCATGGGGGGTTGGGGCCATGGGGGGTTGGGGCCATGGGGGTGGGGGGGGGTGGAGGTCTGGGAGGCATAGAGACTTGGCTGCGGGGGAATGGGTGGCGGGGGGATGGGTGGCGGGGGGATGGGTGGCGGGGGGATGGGTGGCGGGGGGATGGGTGGCGGGGGGCCATCGGAAGGGTGGGAGGGGGGGGCGGGGGGTCATGCGGCGGGGGCGGGGATGCGGGGCCGGTGGGGACCACCCTCACTCCCTCCGTCAACCTCAGTCCCCCAATCACCCTCACTCCCTCCGCACTCACCCCTCCCACGCTGCTCTCACCTCTTCTCTGCCCCTCCCCCGTGCCACCAGGCACAACCTGATCACGGGCGCGGCATGGCCGGGCCACCCGGAGTTCCTGTCGCTGCTGCTGCTGGCGCTGGGCGCCAAGGTGCATGGCAGCGACAAGCGCGTGCTCATGCTCGCAGGGGTGAGCTGTGTGGGGTGAGCTGTGTGGGGTGAGCTGTGTGGGGTGAGCTGTGTGGGGTGCTGCTCATGCTCCGCGGGGTCAGAGCCATCGCTGCTGCTACCGCTGCTGCCACGCTGCTGCTACCGCTGCTGCCACGCTGCTGCTACCGCTGCTGCCACGCTGCTGCTACCGCTGCTGCCACGCTGCTGCTACCGCTGCTGCCACGCTGCTGCCACGCTGCTGCATGCTTGTGCTCTGAGGCTTGTGCTGCATGCTTGTGCTCTGAGGCTTGAAGGCTCAACATGTTTGAAGTAAGAGCGTAGGGTTTTGGCTTCTTTGGTGTTGGGCCTGGGATCAGGGGGTGTCATGTTTGGGTTGGATGTGTGGGGGATCCGTGGATGTGTGGGGGATGTGTGGGGGATCCGTGGATGTGTGGGGGATGTGTGGGGGATTCGTGGATGTGTGGGGGATGTGTGGGGGATCCTTGGATCAACAACCGAGCTTCTGTAATCATGCATGGCCTAAGATGTTGCCTTCTGTAATCATGCATGGCCTAAGATGTTGCCTTCTGTAATCATGCATGGCCTAAGATGTTGCCTTGTGTAATCATGCATGGCCTAAGATGTTGCCTTCTGTAATCATGCATGGCCTAAGATGTTGCCTTCTGTAATCATGCATGGCCTAAGATGTTGCCTTCTGTAATCATGCATGGCCTAAGATGTTGCCTTCTGTAATCATGCATGGCCTAAGATGTTGCCTTCTGTAATCATGCATGGCCTAAGATGTTGCCTTCTGTAATCATGCATGGCCTAAGATGTTGCCTTGTGTAATCATGCATGGCCTAAGATGTTGCCTTCTGTAATCATGCATGGCCTAAGATGTTGCCTTCTGTAATCATGCATGGCCTAAGATGTTGCCTTCTGTAATCATGCATGGCCTAAGATGTTGCCTTCTGTAATCATGCATGGCCTAAGATGTTGCCTTCTGTAATCATGCATGGCCTAAGATGTTGCCTTCTGTAATCATGCATGGCCTAAGATGTTGCCTTCTTTCCCCGTGCCTCGTGCGTGCTGCCCCATGTCCCCCTTGGTGGCGGCGGTGGCTTGGGCAGGACTTCATGGAGGACTACGAGGCCATGGTGCCCATGCAGGCCCTGCAGGCGCTGGGGTACCGCGTGGACGCCGTGTGCCCTGAGAGGCGCGCGGGGGACATGTGCAAGACGGCCGTGCATGACTTTGAGGGCGACCAGGTGCGCGCCCTGCCCTGCCCTGCCCTCTCGCTCTCATACAGTGTCTAAGGGAAGGCAGCATGGAAAGGGTTGGGCTGCAGGATGGCGATGAAAACATTTGTGTGGTCTTGTCATCGTGTCATTTTGTCATCTTGTCATCTTGTCATTTTGTCATCTTGTCATCTTGTCATTTTGTCATCTTGTCATCTTGTCATCTTGTTATTTTATGATCTGTCATCTTGTCATTTTGTGATCGTGGCATTGCTGCCCACTGCCTGTGTGCAGACGTACACGGAGAAGCCGGGGCACAACTTTGCGTTGACGGCGGACTTTATCAGCGTGCGCGTGGACGACTACGACGCACTGCTCGTGCCGGGCGGGCGCGCACCCGAGTACCTGGCGCTCAATGCGCGCGTGCTGGAGGTGGTGCAGCAGTTCCACGCCGCCCGCAAGCCCATCGCCTCCGTGTGCCACGGCCAGCAGATCCTGGCCGCTGCTGGCGTGCTCAAGGTGCGTGCGGGGCAAGGTGGGTGGGTGGGGCAAGGCAAGGTGTGTGTGTGTGTGAGGGGCAGAAGCTGGGATGGGAAGCAGGAGTGGCAGCAGAGGGGTGCACGGCAGCACCACCTCCTCCCTCCACTGTGCCCATCTCTGCTTCCCTTAACACCCCATCACTTGGCTCTGTGTGCGTGGCAGGGCATGCGGTGCACGGCATACCCGGCAGTGAAGCCAACAGTGGTGCTGGCGGGCGGCGAGTGGCAGGAGCCGGACCCCATCTCGCGGTGCTTCCAAGACGGGCACCTCATCACGGGCGCTGCATGGCCCGCCCACCCCGAGCTCATCAGCCTGCTCATGGCCGCCCTCGGCACCACCGTCACTGCTTGACCTCTCAATGCCGTGCCATCGCCACCACACATATGCGACCACACACTGTGACGGACGAACTCTGATCCGGTACAAACTAGTGAAGAAACGAGTGTGAACATATAAATTACGGCATACGGCCACAGATCTTTACAGAGTATAGGGTTTGAGGCTGTTCTATTTCGGATCTTTACCTGCTAGGATTCAATGTCTTGTACCGTAAGCCCCCGGATAGAAGCGCAGGCCTCGGATAAGCGCCGGCGCTTATAAAAGGATGAGGGCGCTTATATCCGGTCCTCGATTATAAGCGCACCCCCTAAAAATTCATGATTTATTATAAGCGCATGCCAATTTTGTATCTGAAAATCAGTCGAAATACAGAAACGAATTTCACCTTACCAGGGAAGCAAAGTACAGTTCCAGTTTCCCACTCACATCTCACTTGCTTCGCGTCTTGTCAGCACGTGCTCTCGCTTTGTCAGCATGTGTTGGCAAAAAATCAATCCCTGCCAAGCTGAGCGAGAATCAGATTCGCGACCCCATATATTTTCGACTCGATTACAATGTGCAGAACGAGATCTACAGATAGGTGTAAAAACTACTTCATTTCATTTTTGCCGTTATATAAGCGCCGGCGCTTATAAAAATCCTCAATTATAAGCCCACCCCCTAAAAAACAGTGTTTTTTTATACCCCCAGGGGCGCTTCTATCCGGGGGCTGACGGTACCCGTATTCTCTCGGACATAACACCCTAGGGTAAAGCTAACAATACTCGACGTTAACGTCGGATGGGTTGCGTAGAGTGTTTAAAGTAGAGGGGAGAATGATGAGACTGTCGAGAGAGTTTTGGTACAAGGAAGGGAACCCCAAGGGGTTGTACCCCACATTGTCTACCCCACTATAGCCTACCCACAACTATAACATATATATAATGTTTGACACACCCCCATAGGCTAAGTGGGGGAGAGCTGTTGGAAACAGTAAATCTTAAGCGCCTCTGTCGTGTCGAAACATCGCACCAGAAGCGAAGCGAACTATGTTGAGGCACACGCGAGTCAACCCTCGGAGGTTGAAAGAGGTTGCTGGAGGTTACGCGAAAGTCAAAGGTCAGCGACCTTTGACCTGACAAGTACAGCGCGACAGTAAGGACACACAACTGACTCGCTACAGAGCAGTTGCCCGAGTCGTCACTGTATCGAACCGCAACAGCAACAGTAAAGCAGTTATAACCGTATCCTTTCATATTCCTTGTACTCATATATAAATGCTTGTATCTCTTTGCTTTAATTAACTTACTTTGCCCTCACATACTAGCGCAAGGTGGTTCATACTATTACAATTATCCTACCCCGAATTTACCCCTGCAAAGATCCTAAGGGCTGTTCTCAGCCCAACATGGTATGAGAGCTATCAGGGGAAATTCGACTACTATCAAGTCATCAACAGACAACATGGCAACATACAAGGAAAGGAGTTCCTCTAATGGTTCTCCCGGGACTACTCCTACCCCACCTCCTGCCTCTGGCCTGCAGACAGAGGAAGGAACCGCAACGGGACCAGCAGCGCCTTCAGCCAGCCAGCCTGCCAGCTTCGACCAGAGTATGATGGAGAAATTTTTCTCCTTCATGTCGTTCTACGAACAACACCAGCAGTCGGCACCTGCGCAGTCAAACAACAGCAACAACAACAACGTGACTCCAATGAGTCTCGACGGCTCATCATATGCGCGCGGAAACCAGCAACAACCTACCTTTGCTCCGTATGAACGCGGGTCCATTAGCTTCATGCCGCACCCGCAAGCTCCACCTGGACAAGAAAAACCACTGGATGCACTACAAGTTCAGTCGCAATTCGCGCACGTCTTGAAGCTGCAGACGTCAAGGCCCTTCGACGGAAAAGACTTCTTCACCTGGTCGTTCGAGTTCGAGCTCATGATGGAAGGCGCGCAGATACTTGGCTTCTTCGACGGGTCTGTGCCATACCCAACAAACGGCACACAGTATGAGAAGCAGCAGTACACATATCAGTCGATGATGGCGTATACGATCCTACTGAGAAACATCACCCCAACTCAGCAGCAGAACATACGGTCTTACCGGGGATTCGGCAACTCCGCGGAACTCGCGTACAAGCACCTGAAGGACCTGTATCAAGCAACAGACAGCGTCAGTCAAAGTCGGCTAATGGCGCAACTGACAACGGTCGAAATGAAACCAGGCAGAAAAGGGATGGCATATATCAGCCGATGTCGCGAACTGCGCGACAAGCTTCTTCGATGCGGAGGGTCAATCTCTGAAGACGCCTTCGTGACAGTCATCATCGGCGGCCTCGGTCCTCAATGGCGCGCGACAAAGGCCATTCTCCGAGCCCACGGAAGAATCTCCGAAGCAGCGCTCTGCGCCGAAATTCACGCCGAGCAGCAAGACATGGACCTGCAAGAAGAACGACACAAGAGAAAGAACAACCAAAAATCATACCTCCGTTCTGCCACATCTGCAAGACGTCAGGGCACCCACGTACGTACTGCCCGTATCGACAACAGTCAACGCTTCCACAGCGACAGCTTCGACCCTCAAGCAGCCAAGTTGCCTCAACGCAAGCGAATCCCATGACTCAAATTCAAGCCTCAACAACTTCAACAGGACAACCTGCACAAGGAGGAAGGAACATCGTCAGCTGCATGGCAAAGTTAACGGACTCCTGCGTCACTGAATCACCACCACACTACTCACCGGAAGAACAACTCGACAACACTACACCCCGCCGCGAGTCACTTCAACCGAACCCAACGTACGCAGCCATCGCCCAAAGCGAGCCATCCGGGAAAGACACCTGGTTCTTGGACAGTTGCTGCGGACAGCACATGTGTTCTTCAGGACGCTTCGTACAACGAGAGTACCAACTCCAACGTGAAGTAGTCATCACCGTCGCCAACAACCAGAACCTGCGCACACGACGACAAGGCGTAGTACACCTTCAGTCACGAGAGACAAACGTCATTCTACAGATGTCCAAGGTTTTAATTGCAGAAGGCCTCGGCTACAACTTACTGAGCGTCAGTCAGTTGATGGCGAAGGGTATTCACCTTGAAGCAAACAGCACCACCCAGGAGTTCAAGCTGTACCACGGGAAGGGCGGCCTCTACATCGGAAAGGCGATCCTCAAGAACAACGTCTTCGTTCTTGATTTTGTTCCAGATCTCGGCACAGCAGACAGCGACGGCATCGTCACCTTCACCTCCTGGACCCACCCTCCAGATCTTGATTCAGACCTCAGTCCCGGCGGCTTCTGGCACTCACACACCATTCCTGAAACAGAGAGAACAAGGGCGTTAGCAACAATTCAACATTCATCGGCAGCAGCAGAGACAACATCGGCAGCAGCAGAGACAACATCGGCAGCAGCAGAGACAACAACGACAACATCGGCAGCAGCAGAGACAACAACGACAGCAGCAGCGGCAACATCGACACCAATCGCTGGTCCTTCAACGGCACCAATCTCCATCGACGATTCGCCACCGACACCCGCACAGCAGCTAAACCCGGCACCACGTGAAGTCCACCGAAGCACCAACGTCACTGCCGGCTTCTACTCCAACTCCGATCTGTATCGACGATCACCCGGACATCGCGCCACCGAAGGAACCTGGCACGCAAGAATGGGACATCCAAGCAACACAGTGTTAAACAACACGATAAGAGCAGGAGTGCTCGATAAAGACTCACTCCTACTAACCGACGGCAGAGAACTTCAGCGAGCCCGTGGAACGTGCTTCACCTGCCCTGAAGCTGATTTACCACACCAGCCGTTCGTCTCGCATCACAATCCAAGCGCACCTGCGTACACACCTCTGGAAAAGGTGTACAGCGACATATTATACAACCGTGAACCCGGACAAAACGCCTACAGTTACACCATCACCTTCATCGACGCAGCCACACGTTACGTTTGGCACCTCAACCTTCCAAGCAGAGACATGGCCTTCGAAGCCTTCGTCGCGTGGCTCCCCGTAGCAGAAAGAGAATCGGGCGTCAAGCTAAAAAGCTTCCAGTCAGACGGGGGAGGAGAATACACCTCACAGAGGTTCAAGCAGTACTTGGCAAAAAGAGGCATCAAACGACTCATCTCTCTACCCTACGCCCACCAACAGCAAGGTGTAGCAGAACGGATGAACAGGACGCTCCAAGCCACCATGCGCAAGCTGTTACGTGGCATGCACCTGCCCAACCACCAGTGGCCCGAAGCAATGGACCACGCCGTGATGCTGCACAACTTGCTTTCGTCATCATCGCTCCCGAACAACGCATCACCGCATCTGCTGTGGACAGGAAAATTGGGCAGCACAAAAATGTTGAGAGTTTTTGGCTGCATGGTACAGTACCGACCTCCATCTGCACGAGCTGGGCGATTCTCTCAACGCGCACAGTGGGGACTGCACCTGGGCATCGAAAAGCATTACAACGCATGGAAAATTTTCGACATCAACAGCAAGGAAACAGTAGCAGCACGTGACGTTATCTTCTACGAGAACCTCACCCTCGGAACTCACCTCATGTACGTCGAAGAAAACAGACCTGACCTCTCGGGCGGATTTCTTGGGAACCGAGCCTTTGCCTCGGCAGAAGACGAAGCTGACTGGGACGAGCAGAACGTGGAGGGAGCCTCGGAAATAGCCAGACCTCTCCCTTACTGCTCCGTGGATATCCCAATGGACGACGACAATCCTCGCGAAAGCGTCAACGCCGACGTCTTCTACGATTTCGCCGACAACGGTTACGTTACACCTGCACGGGTCAACACCAACGAAGCAGAACGCGTAGGACCGAATTTCAACCCAGCACCAGAAGCGGGAGATGAAGCAGTCTATCCCGAGGATACCACACTCCCCCGCTACACACAGAGTGGACTTCAGATACTCGGGCTCGTCACCGCAGTCCACGGTCCCGCCATTCCTAAGGAGCCTGCGACGGTTCAACAGGCTCTGGGGGGGGAGCACAGGGAAAAATGGCGCGAAGCC